ATCCACTCTGATTGGACACTAATCCCCTTTGATTTGGTCATTATAGCAACTCCTGAGCTCAAAGGTCAAACCTCACAGAGGACATGTGAGGCCCTCCTTTATTCTGTAAATATAGACCTTTGACTACTCCCAGTTCCCTTGTCTTATGGAAATGTAACTTCTACCTCCCCCAGTTCCCCTGTCTTATGGAAATGTAACTTCTACCTCCCCCAATTCCCCTGTCTTATGGAAATGTAACTTGTTTGCAGCTCGGTAGCCTGTGCTTTTTCCATGGACTCCTTTAATTTTGAAAAAGTCCCTAAACCTGTCTATTTCACCCCAAAAATTCCTATTTCACATACAAATTATTTCCTTTAAAAATTCAGATAAGAGTTTATGAAAATCCTATTATATGAAAATTTACTTTTCCACATACTAAGTCAAATACTTTAAAATGTATGTATATACTCAACTGTTTTATTTCTAAATTTAAAATGGACAGCCCTAGCCTGTTTGGCTTGGTGGGTAGAGCATCGGCCTGCGGAACAAAGAGTTCTGGTTTCAATTCTAGTCAAGGGCATGCACCTCGGTTGTAGGCTCCTCCCCGGCCTGACCTGGGCCCTGGTCATGCAGGAGGCAACCAATCAATGTATTTCTCTCACATCCATATTTCTACCTGTCTTTCCCTCTCTCTTCCACTCTTTCTAAACATCAATGGAAAAATATTCTCAGGTGAGGATTAAAAAAAAGAAAACTTTTGAAAATTTGAAGTTCACATGCAGGGCAGATGCTGAATGTCTAGGTACTGTTTATTTTTCTCTTATTACTAAATCTCAGCATTATTTTATTTTTTCTTTGCTACCTATTTTTTTTATAAAAATCTTGTCAATATAAGAAATGTCCTAACTTGTAGATAATTTTTATAAGAGTTTATTTGAGCCAAACTGATGAACTATGCAAGGGAGCAAGACCTCAAATGCTCCTGAGAACAGTGCGGACGAAAGGGGCCATATGCCAACCTGACTAGTTCAGAGAAGGCCTGCATGGCATTTGTACAAACTCAAAGACCTAAAATAACCACAAAAGATGTTCTGAAAATTAAATATTTAACTACAAACAGGTTATGGTGGGTAGTCATGACCTAGGCCGGTATTTTTCTCTGACAAAGATCAACTTAGACCTTTACTGAGCCCATTTGTCTTTTTGCCTCTAAGATAACATATCGGTGAAATGATTGGGTAACTTGTAACTTCCCTTGTTTCCAGACCCCTCAAGGCACAAGACATGGCACCAGGACATTCCCTCATTGTTATTGTTATCAAGTTAATTGTCAACTGTCAGTTATGTAAAACTATCCTGTTTTCCCCGAAACTGGTTTGGCTCAGTGGATGGAGCGTCAGCCTGCGGACTGAAGGGGCCTGGGTTGATTCCGGTCAAGGGCATGT